ACGATTTATATTTTAAAAATAATTAAATTCACTTAGCATTCAAAACTTGCGAATTTTGAAAAAAACAAATTTGCTGATTAAATGCGGACAACCGTTTAACTGAAGTAAAACGGGTTTTCCCCTTGCTATGGATGTCTGCCTAGTTCAGTTCAGCCACATTCCGCTACAGTTCGCCTTTATTATCAGTTCGAAATGGGGTGGTTCCATAATACCTGCAGTGTTCCATAATACCACCTTCTCCTCTATATATATAGTGTGGTCCAGAAGTCAGTTAACCGGTGTAAAAACTAAAGTGATGAGTGCTTTAAGACAGGTAAATTTGGCAAAAAAATTTATTTAAAATGAGATACCATTTAACAATCTTTGGCGCATTTCCACAAATTCTGAAAATTGCATTTAGGGAAACATCCTGGAAAAATACCGTTAACCGACTTTTGGGCCATAATGTAACTCATTGCTTCTATTGAAAATAAGATGGCGAGTTTAAATAGCTTCTGATAGTTGCCTGCTCTGTAGTTCCTTCTTGTAATTTGCCACTGAATTTTAACTTGTATTTTTTATTTATACTAACAAAATACTTTTTTTTATTCTTCTTCTTTAATTAATTAATTAATTAATTTAAAAAATCATTACGATAAAATTTTGTTGAGTTTTTCTCTTCAAAAAAACGTATTTTGTAAAATAAGGATGCGTATTATACATTGATTAAGAAAAAGATGCGTCATAAACAAACATCTATGCTAAATTAAGCAGTTGAACTTAATGATAATTAATAAAATTATAAATCAAAAATTTATTATGGTTAAATTGGATATAATAATAATAATAATAAAAAGTTAGGTGTTCACACACTGTAGAAAAAAAATAAAATTTGATATATGTAATGTTTCGAATCTGCGGTTTCGATTTTCGTGAAAAAATTTTACTTCAAAATTCAGCCACTAGGGAGAAATTTGACGCTGCTGTTTCTTTAAAGGTGCGCATTTTTTAACGAATTTCAGGAGTTGAGAAATAAAGTGCAGTAATTTAATTTCAATTAAAGACGTGAGCTCCATTCTCTAAAAACAGTATTTTCTGCACAACATACAACCGTTGTCTTGATAAAGTAGCCCCATAACCAAAAGTCACGGGTTCTGATCAGATGATCGTGGCAGCCGTGACATTGGAAACGATCGGCTAATCACTCTAGTGCGTGATAAGCGTTTTAAGATGACGACAGCGCCATATTTACTCTAGCGGCCGAATTTTGAAGTAAAATATCTTCTCGAAAATCGTAACCGCAGACTGTGGAAAATATCTACTATACACCAAATTTGGTCGAGATTTATCCAATAGTTCTTTCTACAGAAAGCTGTAAACACCTACTCTTTAATTATCATCACCCTGTATTACAGTTTTCCTACATTAAAATATCAAACTCTCCATCTTTAATTAATTATCATCACGGAGATTTTAATACTTTGATGTAGGAAAACTGTAATACAGGATGGTGATAATTAAAGAGTAGGTGTTTACAGCTTTCTTCCGAAAAAAACTATTGGACAAATCGCGATCAAATTTGATCGCAAGGGTGAATACGGCGTTGCTGTTCCCTTAATGCGCTTATTATACACGAGAGTGATTAGCCGATAATTGTATATGATAATTAAAATTAATTTTATTTCATTTTCATTACTTAAATATAAAAATTTTGAGTATATAAATCAATTTTCCTGTAACTTAGTCACCTCTATCTCCCATTTTCACACTTATATCTTCTAACAGTAACCTGCTATATTAGTTATTGTACATGAAAACTGTAGAGAGATCGTTAAGAGTTGCTGTCTATTGGTAAATAGATCGTTGACCAGCCCTCGAATACTAAGCTATTAATACAAGTAGGAAGTTATAACCTGCAAACATTAAGCTGTCAATAAGGTAAAGTAATCAAGCAAGTAAGCCATCTTATCTAACCATGTTACAAATACTAAAATATATAAAAACTTATAAAACTTTTAAGAACAATTAGACTAGATTTATCTATAATTTAATTATTAATACATACTTTATTAATTTTGCTTATATAAGTGATTAATTAAAAAACTAATTAAATTGATACAGAAGACATAAAGATTCTATACAGGATGGCCCAAAATTTAGTTAACTATAAGAATTGCTACTGTTATCCCCCTTCTAAACTCATAGAAAACACGGTAAACAGACTTATAGGCCACCCTTTATATAAACTGATCAATACATTTTTAATATTTTAGAATTTGTAAACATTGATACTAATTAAATAAGTCAATATTTAACATATGTAGCGCATGATATTGGTTATATCATGATAATGAGAAGTGACTTCCAATAACAGGTTTTATTTTTAATGATACTGATGTAAAAAAAAAACCTGAAAAAGAAATAAAATAACTTTCAATTACAATCGCCAAAGGAAAGAAAAATATATATTAAAAAAATCTGGATTTTTTAAAATTTAAAAGTAAGTGTAATCTATCTCATAAATCTCAGTATTAAATTCAAGATGGCAACAGAACAATGCGAAGAAGCAATACACGCTAAAGCAATATATCCATTTTATCGATACCACTACTGCCAAGTGATATTATTCTGTACAGTGTCGTTATCCAACTCTCTCTCTTCTAAACAAAGAGAGAGGGAGTATGTTTTTTATCGAAATACTCAGAAACAAATTTTGAAAACAATTTGATATATTGTTGGTAGGTAAAAACGTATAAGAAAGTATTTTGGCCATGTGGATTTTTTCCAGTCACTGTCATTTACACTACTATGACAAGTCATTTCTCATACTTGCAATAATTCATAATGTATTGTTATAAGGTAAAAAAGAAACTTATCATGAATCATGTTAGCTACTAAATTAAAGAAATGGTAACTTTATAGCTTTAGAATTTTAGTATTGTAAAAATAAGTTATCAACCTATAAAAATCTATTCTTTTACTATATATATATTTTTTTCTTTCCACTAAAAATTGATCTTGGTCTGTTAAATACTATCTTGACTATAAAAAAAAAATATATATATATAGATATTATGAAACATAGCAAAAGGTTTCATAACTGTATTGTAAATATTTCAACTTTTACACTATATTTTTAAAAATTTTATTTATAGATCCTCCCATTTCTCCAACATTAATGTTGGTTTCCACAACAGCAACATCTATTCATTTGAAATGGAATTATTCTGATAAAGAAGATAGTCCTGTAACAGGTTGAGTATAACATTGGATTTAAAAAACTGTAGGCATATTATACTATATATATGATATTATAATTTATACATCTATTATCTAATTTTTTAAATTAAAAATCATTATAAAAATTTTTAAATTTTAGGATATTTTCTCTATCATATGAAACAGCATGGAACTTGGGAAGAAAGACAAGTTCCTAGTCATCAAACAACTTACACATTTCATGATTTATCTTGTGGAACTCATCATCAGTTTTATATTATTGCATTTAACACTGTTGGTAAAGGAAAACCAAGTGATGTCATTGGAATTAAAACACAAGGGTCTGGTATGGATTTTATTTTACTTTTTTATTAATGAAAAAAATGCTATTTTAGTTGAACATTTATAATTAATGAAAAAAAATATATATATATAGATATTATGAAACATAGCAAAAGGTTTCATAACTGTATTGTAAATATTTCAACTTTTACACTATATTTTTAAAAATTTTATTTATAGATCCTCCCATTTCTCCAACATTAATGTTGGTTTCCACAACAGCAACATCTATTCATTTGAAATGGAATTATTCTGATAAAGAAGATAGTCCTGTAACAGGTTGAGTATAACATTGGATTTAAAAAACTGTAGGCATATTATACTATATATATGATATTATAATTTATACATCTATTATCTAATTTTTTAAATTAAAAATCATTATAAAAATTTTTAAATTTTAGGATATTTTCTCTATCATATGAAACAGCATGGAACTTGGGAAGAAAGACAAGTTCCTAGTCATCAAACAACTTACACATTTCATGATTTATCTTGTGGAACTCATCATCAGTTTTATATTATTGCATTTAACACTGTTGGTAAAGGAAAACCAAGTGATGTCATTGGAATTAAAACACAAGGGTCTGGTATGGATTTTATTTTACTTTTTTATTAATGAAAAAAATGCTATTTTAGTTGAACATTTATAATTAATGAAAAAAAATATATATATATAGATAGCATGAAANAATTAAAAAGATATTATGCTAATATTTGTCTTTGTCCTAAATTTTTATCCGAAAACTTTAATTTTACTAATTTTATTTTCGTTTAATCAATTATGTCATTTAACTACCATTCATTAATGGTCCATGTAAAGCAATTATCGATCATTACCGTAAAATTAACAACTGGCTTTGTTTCAGTCATTACAGGAGAACATGTAGACATCAGGACAGTGATTGCTATTTGCATACTTTGAAATATTTTCAATTTGTCTTGATAAAGAAAATTTTAATAAATTAATCTACTTTTAAATTCATATTCTAAATTTTAAAAGTTGTTCAGTCTTTGAAAATTTCCTTAAAAAAAAAAAAAATCAATATTTGCTTAGAAATTTAAAATACTTTTATTGCTTTCTTTATTAAATATTTTAGATAATTTAATATAAATATAACCAAATTATTATGTGTATGTACTGTACAAACCAAGATTATCTGAATTGATGTCTGTTCTAACAGTTTCGAAAACATAAAATAGATTAAGACTGATGTTCTACATCTTTGTATCTCTCATAATGGCAATTAGATTGTTGATCATCGCTATGGGAGTTATTATATTAGCTGACGTGATAAGCTCTGATTTTAATTACTATCAATGTTCGTGTATGTATGATTTCCTTTTATCATCAGATACCATTCAAGATGTAACTTGCATTTAATAGTAATTTTATTTTAAATTTATATTTACGAAAAGAATTGTCATGTCTTTCATACCTTGAGAAAAAGTACAAAACTTAAATGCCACTTTCACATTTTCTTCTAAATTATTAAATCTATTGACACCTAAACAATAATTTTATCACTACAAAATTAATCAATAAATTTTAAAGGATTTATTTTGTAGAGTTAGAGACCATTTCTTTGGTCTTGAGTTGTGTTCAAATTATGTCTTTCATATGAATCTAAGTAGAATTGATATTATATGCCACATTACTTCAATTCAAGTAATTTTTTTCTCATATGGCATACATATTTTCAATCAATCTGAAGTTAACATAAGAAAATTAATTCACAGCTAAAGATTTCATTAGTATTTGAGATGGTGTCTTCATTTTTCAGTGTTCTTCTATTGTAAAATCTAAATTTTTGCATCATCATTTTCAATAGAGATAGAAAAATAGATCAAAAACTTTCCAGTTATTAACTTTAACTATTTTATATCATATTTACCATATAACACACAATTTTCTGGCAAAGTTTGAATTGCATTTAAAAATAGTTCTAGTTACAAAAATACTACTGCACTTTACAAATATTTTTAATGACTAGTTGAAAGTTTTTATGGATCTAATGGCTAAAAAATGTATCTTTTTGTTGTTTTTAACTCCACCACATTGACATTATGAGCACACATTGTAATACAGTATTTACAGATTCATTACACAAGTATATAGAAAATGACCCAAGATGTTTTTAGAGGATGACATATTTTAAAAGATAACTAAAGTAAAATTACTTCATTTTTATATGAGAGCTGTATTTTTGTTTGTTATATCTTCCCCAGAGTGTATTCAATGAACAAGAAACTCATTCGAAAAGTTCTAGAAGAAATATTGTGCCTGTCTGCTTTGCATTTTTGAATTAAGTTTACATACCAATAAACAATTACTTATAAGTTAATGTATCCTTGTAATAAACATTATTACTTTCTTTTGTAAAATAATTAAGGAAAAAAAATAATACACTTTTCAAACTTTTAATATAACAATTTATTACAAATAATCTAGGAAATAAATTTTGTTATTTATTTTTCATTTTGAAATGAACATACTTTATCCATTTGATTTTAATTATCATTAAAAGAATTTTATGATTTAAACTGTAAATAAAAATACATTATTTTGAAATAATTCTTTTGAGGTAATGTATTATTTATTATCATATAATTACATCCATACATTATAAATTTGTTTCACTTTTCAATTATATATATATGTCATGTTTTTTCCTTTTCTTTTATTCCATAAAAAATTTACTTTGGATCGCTTCTTTATTTATAATTTTGAAATTTTAAAACTGTTTTTAATACAGTATATAAAAAAAAAGAAAAAAAAATTTAACAAAAACTTACACCAAGGCATCAAAAATGCAGAAATAATTTTGTTAAAAATTTTATATATATTTATTTATATATATCTCATCTATATATATATATATAAAGAATAAATGTTGTTATTTTTTTTTTATTATATACCTTGGAGTATTCAATGATAAAAACAAATATGTATGCTTAAATTCTATAAACAGAAAAATCTGTTGCCTTTTAAATTATTCTTTTTGCTGTACAAAATACAATTGGCAACAGTTTTTAGACATAAATATAATATTTTTTTAAGCAAAAAAGCCATGATGTTAATAATCGTTTAGCACATTGATGTTCAATGCAAATGTTTAATTGCTCGATCTGCCGAAGAATGGAACTTTCAAGATCCGACAGCAATTTGTGTAATATTATAGTCCAGTTATTCTACAACTTAATTTTCAAGATTCCAGGTATTCTTTCAACTGCTGCATGGTTTCAACATCTACAGTTGCCATTAATTGTTCGAAAGCAGTTTGTCCCAGAGACTGCTGCAATTGTGACATTTGAGAACATAGGTATTCTTTCAGGACGACCGTATGTATCGGATCTTGACGTGACAACTAAATAAAAAATTAATTCGAAATTTAATTCTCATCGAGGATAATTGAAACGTAGAGGAAAAAATTTTTACCTCCTGTTTTCTTCTTTCGTGTTCCGTCTCGTCGTCGTCGTCTATTTGTAGTGTCTCGTTTGCGTGTAAAACTAAAGAACTAAAAAATATTTAATGTTATGAAATATTGTTTTATTAAAAATAACAATCTTTGTATTATTTTTATTTTATAACATTTCATTTTTTACCTGGACCTTATTATTTATAAAGTATTTTGGAAATAGAAAAATCCTTAATTATTCCAATAAATTAATTCTCTATAAAGAAAAAAGTGTGTTTAAAAATTCTTTCAGAAAAATCTAAGATATTTTCATTTTGGATCATCCAGATCTATTCAATCTAGCTGAAACCTATCCTGTTTATATATATATTATAAATTTTATTTCAATATAAGAGTCAAATTTTATCATTTTTGAATTTTTTATCCAAATGATGCAAGAACTATTGATTTTAATAACATTAAAAAAGAAAAAAAGTAGGAAAGATATTTCAAAAATCTAAGCAAAAGAAGAAAAATAACGATCATCAGATGTTTCAAAAGGAAATATGCTGAAAGCAATATCATAAATTAAATTAAAAATCTAGTTTTTCTTCAATCTGCTACAGAATAAGAAAAAAGAAACCTTAATAAAGTTCTGTTGATGAGAAAGTTTGATTGATATACTAATGACAAATCTTTTATATTATGTTAGCGCAAATATAATAAAATCATCGTGCATCAAGGAGAAATGTAATTAAAACAAATACAGAAATAATAATTTATTATTAAATAAACTTGTAGATTTGAACAGTGCACTTATTAGCAGTAAATATTTTGTGAATTAAAAAAAAAGAATTGTTTATTTAGTTGTACAAATAAAATTACTTGCAAATAAAAAAAATATAATGTTTTTCATAGCTCTATAGAAGTCAGTTGAGTAATAAAATTGTGTAAAAATGTATTTTGAAATTTTGTATCTATTGGAAGAGAGTACTAGACACTAAACAAAGTCTTAAAAAGGAAAATTAAATCCGATAAACTTCAAGTAATTCACAAAATTACTATATAATTAGTAATAACAAATTTTGTAATAATAAAGATGTCTGTTTAAAAAGTATTGATTGTTGGGCTGCAATTAGGAAAAATTCTAGACCTATAAATTCCCACCGTTGTCCATCTGTCTGTCTTTCCTTAATCTCAAGAATGGAGTTAGATAGGTGAAAGATGAGACCAGATATGAAAACCATAGGGCGGAAGGCCCAATTAACTAGTAAATTTCTATTAACTCGAATTTCTGATGCAAACCAGAAGTCATATTATTTCAATTAAAACATTTCCTGAAAGGAGTTAGATAGATGATTGGTATGACTCCATTGCTAATGGAAAAGTATGATTTACAGGGGCAAGACACTACGGTACTAATTTGAAGTGGAGAGCATATATTTTAAATTAAAAATTGCAGCCCGGCATTGTGACAATATCACAATAAATAGTGAAAAGTTACATTTTTTAAAATTATGTACAATTCCATTATTATACAATTAATTATGGTAACAATGAATGTCATTTCATTTCTTAAAAACTTCCTTGTGATGGTAATTATTTATTTGTTTATTTTTTTTGCAATTCATTCTTTGCACATTTATAAGTTTTTCTTAAATAACAAAACCTAAAAGAAACAAATTGTTATCAAGAGATTAAAAAAAAAAAAATGGAATGAACCAACTTGATATTTGAGCAAATGAATCTTTCTACATAAAGCAATTATTTTGTTATACACAAAGATTATCATTTGTATAAATTATCTTCATATCTTAGCAGTCATAATCTCAATACTCAGCTCTATCATCAGGGTTATCATAAATATGGATTCAAATATCTCCTTGAGAAAAACCTGGACATGTAATAATTATCAAAATATATTGTCTTGCTGGGTAAACTTTGCATTAGAGTTATATGGCTTACTTTTGAAACTGTTTATGGAGTCCGAAACCATACTTGAAAAACTTATTAGCTTTGTTAATCTAACTGTTTAACCCTTAACCAGATATGGTGGGTCCAATGGACTTTATATTTTTCTTAATTATAACACATTACTTCATTCTTTTGTGATTTCCTCATTCAATATTCCTTTTACATAATATGAAAAAACAAATATTAATACAGTTTTTTATTTATTAGCGAGAGTGAGTTAATTTTATGATGTTACCGGATGAAAGTGTCCATTAGACTCTAATGTTAATATGCACAATATACAACAAGGATGCAATCAGAAGAAGGTTTTAGGAGTTGAAAATCTCCATATTTATTTTAACTGAAATAACTGTTTTATTTTTGTAAATAAAAGCTAAAATACTTTTTCCCTTACTTCCAAATTTTTTAATATATTTTTCATTAAAATGATTTTGGCTTAATTTATAAATTATGGCAAAAAAAGTTGTTCCTCTAAACCTAAATACCCTAGAAAATTTTATGGTTGCATTCCCGTACACATTTCAACTAGCTTTATTGTTATCTGCACAAACTCGTAGTGATACATGCAATTACAAGTAATAGTTAGTCATAATCTGCATGAGTTGTAATTTGCAGAGTGGTCACCTATAAAATATGGCTCAACAAGTTTCTGTAAGAGAATGAATATAAGAAGCATAAAAGGAGTTTTTTTTTACAAGAATTTGCCAAAGGACTAGTAAGACCACATACTGAAAGAAAGCTGGGGTAAAGAAAGGAACAATAACAGTAAACAATCAGTGTAGAGGAATTATCCAACAAATGCAAACTGACAACACTTAGGAAACTGCCTACAGAAAAATGTTGCATAGTGTGTTGTTCAAAAAAAAAAAAAAAAAAGAAGAATTAAGGTTTTACCTCGTTAATTTAAACCTAGGTTAAATAAAGTTATCATTCTTCACTGGCAATACTCAATAATAGCATCAATTCACCATTTTAATAAAGAATCTCTTGAAAAAACTCTTTTCAAGGTGCCACTGCAAAATGCCATGATGTAAACATCACTGACTTGAAAGTAGCCACTGAATAGCCAATATTTTTAAAATAAAAATTTAACTTCAAATAGAAATACTCACAATTGATACATAGTTAATAATTATATGAATTTGCACGTATAATATATTTTTTTTTATAACAAATTTTACTATTTCACTATCATCATCACTAAGCCATAAAACTTATCTTCTCAGTCCACATTAGATTGAGTTTGCGGGAGTACACTATACTATGTTAACTGATTTCTGAAAGCTAAGTTTGTATCTTGTTTGCTATTAACTTTCACTTTATCATCATATCTCATCTTTATGTATATTTATTTTATATTTTTATTGATTTCTAGCTCAGTTTAGTGTAATAAGCTCTCATGCCAAAACAATAACTAAGTAATGGAAAAACTAGTACAGCTCATAAAGAAAACAAATTGGCTTGATTATAAAAATACATCAAGTACTTATTTATAAATTATATTTCAAAGATACTTTCTTAAAAGATATATAAAACACTATGAATAGGACAAGAGTAGTTTTTCAGATTTGACCTAGTTTGTTCAAAAAGAAATAAAAGAAGACTATTTTTAAATAAATACATGTAAATTTTAAAATTAAAAAATGTCATAAATAGTTAACAATAGTTAATTTAAAAATGGAAAGCATACTTAAAATTAAACAATAAAATAAATGAATACACATTTTAAATTCAACCCAAAATTTTCTTTTGAAAAATTTTTGTTTTAGAAAATGCAATTTAGATTGAATAGAAAAAAAATTCTTAACTTTACAGTTTTCAAATTCTTAAATAAGATGTTAATCAATTGTTATTTTCACGCACATGTAAGTGTATGTAGAAATTAGATACTGTAAAAGTTACTTATTGTTATCAGTCAATTAATATTATCAGAATTAGTGTCTTTAAATATAAAAATTAAAATACATTTATAAAACACCAATTATTATCATCAGAATTTTGCTATAGTTGTCATAATATAAATAGTATTTGTAAGCTGTCTTTTTACACTGTCAATTGCAACCAGTGCTTTAAATGCTAAACATGAATTATTTAATTGTTGTTTATTTGTATATAATTAAAATTTGGAGTGTTTTTACTTCAATTACACACTGGGTAAATTATTAATTAATTAATAACAATAACTATAATTAGTAAATCTTCAAATTATTTAATTGTTTTAACATATTCCTTTAATGTAAGAGTCAATAAAACCAGAATTTCCATGATTGTCCCAAAGCGATCATAATAAGCAGCTTCTACTGCAAATAAAATATTTTTAATTATAAACCATTTCTAACTTAGAAAAATAAACAATATTTACATTAAAAAGTTTTTATCATTTTCTTTTCTAATTACCTTTAATTATTTTTATTAACTATTTATTCATTTTAAATTAACTATGCTATGTCTATAATAAATTGTTTAGATGTAAGTTTGATGTATGACTTAATTTTTAAATTTGTCTAACTTTTTATGTACAGTATATTATATCTTAAAATTTCATTTTTCAGGAAGTCCACCTGTATTTAGGCACCTCACAAAGGATTTTAGAGACCAATTAAAAGGAAGTGATTCAAATTCCTATACTGTCACAAAAAATATAAAATTAGTGAATGGTTCAGGTAATTGAGTCTAAAATAATTTTTTTTTTTTTTTCTTAAACTTTTTCTTTTGATTTATATAATCTTTCACCTATCATTTTTTAGGGAAAGTACATACAAAATCAAATTTAGCAGATATTCCTTCTTCTCCTTTATCACCAAAAGAAAATATTGAGAATGATGGTAATTGGTTTATTACATTGATGGAAAAAGAGAAGCTAATTATTCAACAGCAGATTGTAAATACAGAAAAATATTTAGAAGATAGCAGCATTCCAGAAGAAGCATGTGGAAAAATTCGTTCTGCAATTGGAAAAGCAAATCTTTTATTAACACAGAAATTTGAACAATTTTATCAGTTGTGTTTAAAAAATATTGTGAGTATTGTATATATATTTTTTAATTTTCAATAATATATTTTATTTTTAACAAATTTATAAAGAATTTGTTTTGAAATTATAAAATATATAAATAATAATGTAGAGATGAATCTTCTTTCAATAG